TCGTAAGATTAACAATTTAGGCATAAATTCAACACAAATATACATTTTAAAGGGGTCTCTAAAATGCAAAAAATGGATAATTTGTGCCGTAGGTAACATTTAAATATGGGTTAGTTTTTGCTACAGTTTCAGTCCTTCACGTACTCCGTCTCAGGAATTTCTCTCACGCGCATTTCGTAGCTACCACTTTAATAGTAGCTTGGCCCGTGCGTAGGTCATTCCAATCACCGCCATCATGGGACTGTAGGTGTTATCCAACCTGGCATAGTAATACGACACGGCAGTCAAGACCAGGATGCTTGCAATACAGTTCAGATAGTAGAAAGGTAGGAAGAGTTTCTTCAAGGACGATGCACAGCTTATAACGGCGAGTAAGATGGCCACGAGTTCTAGGGCGAGGGCGCTGGCAAGGAGGGCCCCCACAACGAGATAGGCATTGCTCCTTGGCGAATTCATGCAGGATGTCAAAATGGTACCACAAGGCCAGTATGGTAGGGCCAAAGCGAGACTGAGAAAGAGGATGGAGAAACCAAGATGAACTACCGACTGGATACCGGACTTCTCCATTTCGCAGCGTTAACAGCACCTTCTGAATGCGAGTTCCCTGGGCTGCTGCTGCTGCTGCTGCTTATGTATCTCACCGGCAACCTGCTTCTTTTTGGGGGAAGTAGACCAACCAACTCTCTGCTCAGACGCCAATTGGTTCTCTCCACAGCTTCAGTCGCTGTTTTTCATGTCAGTTGCTGTTGCTTTTGGAGGTTCCACGTAGGGATGACTGACGGGCGTTTTTGCGCACATGTGGCCGTGGCCACGTACAAGGTACCTCGCCTGAGATAAACTTAAATTAACATCCCCCTGAGGACAATAAAAGTGTTTCTATTAAGCAGTCTCCTCGTGAAGATCGACCCTCTGTGGTACGAGAAAGGAATTGAGAATACGTCGGCGCCCTGTCAGAATAAGTTTACTACCCACTCCCATTCTACTACTCTCTTCTTTTTCCTCCTCCTCCCAGATGTGATTGGTCAAGCATGAATAAAAGAGGACAAGGATGCCGGTGCCCACAGCGGTTTGGTGATCAGTCTTCTCTGGGATGTAGGTTGGTTTTTCTAAAGGAAACCTGATGTTAATTTGTAGACTAGAGTATGCCTTTTTAAAGAACATCCGTTTCTTTTTTGCCGTAAAACGTTGGAGGACGCAGCCAGAATGCAATTCTGATGATGGTTAGCAGCCAACGAAACGGGAGCATTTTAGACTGTGTATATTAACACGACCTCCGTCGATTTAATGACCGGTAGTATAAGGAGACATCGTGGTTCCTGGGGGATACGAGGGGGAGAAAAATAGTTTCAGTAAGGTCTGCTAAATTCGCGATGATCCTTTTTGGGAGTCATGAAGCAAATCGCTCGGGAAAGATGAGGAAAATACAAGGTTGCTAAAATCAGTGTTGAGATAAATATGCAGTCTTCCCTTGAATGTAGACCTAATATCAATTGGCCACTTACTCCAAAGAAAGCTATACCTGAAAGCAAAGGAAAGAGGGCGTTTAGATGTGGTATATGCAGGAGGAGGTATAATCAATGCGGAATTTCCTGGTTTGTAAGGACGGCTAATGGAGGTAAGGAGAGGAAGCTTGGGCAGATCTGAACTATTTTTATTATGCTCATCCTAATCATCCTCTTCTTCCTCCTCATCTTCCGCGTCCTACTGCTCCTGGTCCTCCTGTTCAGCCTGCTCTTCGTCATCGTCCCCGTCACACTTCTTTTCTTCTTCTTCTTCTTCTTCTTCTTCTTCTTCTTCTGCTTTTTTCTTTTTCTTCTTCTCCTTCACATCGTCCTCTTCGTCCCCCTCCTCCTCCTGCTCACCACAACCACCACAATCATCAGCATTTCGCTTGACCACAGCACACATGAAGTGAAAAGCAGGGATAAAAGGAAAAAAAGTGTTTCATTTAAACAGCAACCACAGGAAGATCAATTCACTGATACTGGAATGACATTAAAACTGCCTTGGAGCTCTGTTAGAATCAGTTGTCGTCAGCTACCTGCACCACAATTCATGGTTAGTTTATGAGACTTTCGAACTCAACATTCTTTGTGGTTGAGTGGAGTTTCACTCTGCGCAGGCAAGCATGTAGCAGGGCTCACCGCCGACAACGAGTACACATGCACTGGCTGCCTACACCCGTTCGTCTAGCCAATCCATCTGACCAATCACCTGTCAAGGCCAACTCACAC